TCAGTCCCTCTCTACCAAGGATTCTTGATTATTGGGTAAGACGCTGTGTGAATGCGGATGACTTATCAAGTGGGCATTTGGCTGCCTGGATTTCCTGGCATTTCCTCTGTGTTAAAGCGCTGTTGAAATGTGAGAAGGGGAAAATATGAAAGTATCGACTGCTGGACTAATATGTCTCACTGCTGAATCAATAGTGAAACGTGTGAACCTTCTTGTCCATGTGGCATTTTCTCTGGAGCACGTTCTGCACACTGAGGACACACGACTTTGTCTGTTTCAGCTACTCCACTATCTACACCATGTTTCCTGTCTTCTCCCTGGTGTTGGACAAAGACGTTAAGTCAGAGGTTGCCATGTTATACCCAGAGTTATACAAAGATCTCTTGAAGGTATTTAATGAGTGTTACACGACAGACAACTGTAATAAACAAAGCCCACAGGAAAACAAACATAATATCTGTTTTCCTTCCACAGGGTCGACCGCTGTCTTACAAGACATTTCTAATATGGGTCATAATAAGCATCTATCAGGGTAAGTAAGGTTGTATGGATGTTTGATAAGCTGAGACAGTAACTGCGGCCGTTAGAGAGACAGATATTAGAAAAACAATAACAGGTAACATTAAAAACATGCAATGCATCACTTCTGTTACACCAACTCAGCTATTCTGGAGCATTCAAACTGGACTTCAGACCAGATCAGATGTTTAATTTGGGCAGACAGACAAATCAGTCCCCAGCAAGATTAGATAACAGACGGCTTTGTGAAGCTATTTAGCAGGCCACACCCTTGTTTCTGAGTTTCTAGAGGAGTTTACTTATACCTGAGGGCTGTTTGTCAAAAACCCCAGGTAAGTTTCCATTGGCAGTATAAAAATATTCGCAGTGGCATCCTGAGCTGTGCCCCGAAACCTTTTATCAGTTTGTCAAAACATGAATGCTCCATTTTATGCCAATCTTAAGAGACTGTATATTTATTTGCAAGTAGCGTTGCAAATGCTCTGTATGTTGGTACCACTGTACTCCCAGTTTCCTCTACTGTACCTCTGCTTTGAGTGTTCAAGGATATGAAACAAGTGTAAGATTGCCTCCATGAAAGGTCAAAGATGGTTAAAAGAATTGTCACCAGCCTACCCCCATAGCCTAAAGGTCAAGGTGTGTACCGCCTGTACTGTTCGACTCCTGTCTGGATTCACCGGTGATGTTAGACACACACTCTCTGAATCAAGTTGCCCGTCTCATTACGGTAAACAGTAAGGACAAGAACAGTGGGAGACCTTTCATGGTTAAAACAGACTAGATAAATTATTAAATATGCGGCAACACAAATCATTGAATTAAATGAAAAGTGCATTAACTGATTGGAAGCAAAAGAAAAAATAAAAGGCTTGGTCTTTTATTGTAGTTGATTGTAAATTCAATGAAAAGCATAAAGTTATGTGATCTGATAAGTGCCTTCTGTCAGGCGTGGACAGCCACAGGTGTGATCCTGCAGGATGGTATTTTTCCATCACTTAAGACTAAATATTGGCTGTAGCGGCGAGTCATCTCATGTGGCTCGTGGAGGACATCTTTAAAAGTTTGATTTGTAAAATGTCAGCCTCATTCTCAGGATGTGCTCTCGTTTTCTTTCTCAGGGAGCATCATCATGTACGGGGCGCTGCTGCTCTTCGAGTCAGAGTTTGTCCATATCGTCGCCATTTCCTTCACCTCTCTTATTCTGACTGAGCTGCTGATGGTGGCCCTGACCGTGCAGACGTGGCACGGGCTCATGATAATCGGCGAGCTCCTGAGCTTGGCCTGTTATGTCGCCTCACTCGTCTTCCTGCATGAGTTCATAGGTGAGTGAACACAAAGACGTGTACGTAAACTCACACAGGAGGCGACTGAGCCTGCGGTGGCATCTTTCATACAGTCTGCATTCTTTTCACTGTAACCTGATTTTCGTTATTGTGCTGACCTTGAAATGGTACGTCAGCACTGAGCAGTTGGGGGGAGCTGCTCGTTCAGATGATGCCTCTGGTGTACAATAAGCTGTGGTATGCTGGATGGTAGGAAGTCTAGAGGTGAATGCATTGACACGCCGTCCAGGTGTGGACGAGGCTCTGGCACACTGGAGCATCAAAGGGGAAATGCCGACAGTCCCGTTAGCTTCCTGTGGACTCCCATGGTTCAAATGTTTATCACAGTAAATGTGTATTTGAAAACACTACCCACAAAACTACTGCTCTGCCAGTGTTGGTAGGCACCGATTCACAGGTATTTGAGTTTGAAACCTAAATAACGTCTGTAGCAGAAGAGGAGAGGACTGTTTCTCTACTACAGCCGCTTTGTCGCCCAGCTATCAGCCATTTATTTACTTGAAAACAGAAAACAAGCCAGTTTTAGTTGTGCCATATTAAAACTTGTGACAAGTACAATTCTATAACCAAGATTTTTTCCAAGCCTTTATTTTTGGCCTTATGTGTGGCGTGGAGCTCCATTTTCAGCCTACAGTCTCCACCACTGAGGGTCATGACTGGCATGTGGTCAAGGGGACCTTTTCTGGACACTCTCCTCCCTCTTGAACTCAAACTGGAATAGATGTTAAAGGCCATTCTTCTGATTCAGTGGACAAAAGAAGACGTATGAAGGCCATTCATCTGTCTCCTGCATTCAAAGCCACATGCACTGAAATGGTGCCAACTCACAAAGACCTGAGAACCTCTTGGAGAAATGATACTGTACTTTGTACTTCAGTGATATTACTCATTCACTAGAGACTATACCAGAGGTTTTCAGACTGCTGGTGCACCCCCACAGGGGGTTGGCACCAAGGGAGAGACGTGAGGCAAAGATAGTGTGTGCCACGTGCAGCCATGCACGTGTTTATGCAGCACAGCCCTTTTCAGATGTGAGATAGGTAACACTGCTGCTTCATCAGTCTGTTAAACACGTGACTTTCTGTCATTCAGACATTTTGACGTTCTAGTCCTCAGGGCTGGATTACACCTCAATCTGACCTTTGACTCTTTGTCTACACCAGATGTGTACTTCATCGCCACTGTGTCGTTCCTGTGGAAGGTGACCGTCATCACGCTGGTGAGCTGTCTGCCTCTTTACATACTCAAGTACCTGCGCAGACGCTTCTCCCCACCCAGCTACTCCAAACTGACCTCGTAAAGGGCGAGAGGAGCCACAGGCCTCATGTCCTGTCACACAGAGATGTCCCCGTCTTCATCGAACAAACCATAAACATGGATTCATTCCCCTCCATTGGTTCTGACATGTTCTCCTTTTGTCAGGGGCATGTTGTTTACTGAGGGAGAGAGGTTGTTAGTTAAAAAGCAGTGTTACTTGCTGCATGTGTTTGATGGAAAGACTAACTCCTGACTGTGTTTTGGGGGTTAGTTTATTATCATAAATATAAAAATGTCCCATGTAATGTAATAACATGACCTTTGGCTGTGTCATAAATGAAGACACAAAGGAATTCACTAAATTATGCAGGTCTACCTAGTTTTAAACTGTCAACATTCATATCAGGAAAGTAAGTGAGGAGGTTGGATGTGACTCAGTTTGGGCTGATAACTCATTTTCTCTTATTGCCAGACTGTTTACTGTTAGACACTGAAGCTGACCTGATTCACATTCTCCTTGAATAGTGATTTCTAAATGGAGTTTGAGAATTACACAGTGAAAAAAGCTGACTGATGAGACTGCTGCACAAAACACACGTCCACAACTTTGTGTATTTGTTTATGCGTCAGCCTGATGCTCCAGCCCGACACGGAGGAGGTTGTGTGGTTGCTAATTTTAGCATGACCCACAGCGTCTGATGTTAAATCTGTCTTTGTCTGTTTGTATGGACCCTGAGTTGTTAGTGTTTGTGGAGCCAGGTCAAAACAGCCACAAAGCAGTGTTGGTTATTTGCAGCTGAACCTTCCGCAGGGGAATGTGCAGCCTCTCATGTGGCCTCTCGGGCAGGCCAGCGCCGGCCTTCAGCGCTGCAGCATGACTCACTGTAACAGTTACCTAAAGCCATAACTGAAAATACCCCAGTGACTGACATCCAGCTACCCAGCCCCCGATGCTGTCCCCTCACATCTCACTGCTACCAACGTCCACAGTTCAGCTGTGACAGAACAAAGGAAATAAATCACCGTTACTCAGTGAAATACAGTTAATATTGTACAAGTATTGCTACTGCACATTCAGAAGAAAAGCGAAGCTACTGTATACTCCTCATTTTTTCGTTTCACCATTGGTGATGGAGATCATGTAAATAATTAGCAACTAGCAGAATAACAGTTATTTTAATTGTGGAAGACGTTCACTTGTCTCAGAGGGATCTGTGTCTGCGTCCATGGTGCCATAAGTGATCATTGTTCTAATATGTTCATCTCGACCTTTAACACCCACCAAGTCCAACAAGTTGTTTGCACACAATTTTGTTTTGTAAACAGATTATTATATTTTTATGTTGTAATAGAATTGCAAAACATAAATGATGCTAAAATGGTTTGGTTGCTTGTAAATAACCTGTTTGTTTTTTTTACATGTTCTATTTAATGGCATTGATTGCACTCAAATGAACAGAAAGGGAGAACCGTGTTGATGTCAGTGTTGTGATGATGATTAATACATTTTTTGTTTCCTTTCCTTGTGCCTTTTTTCTTCCATATGACAATTTTAAGAAATGGTCAGTAAATTCCAGGCAAAGACCAAAGGTGATGTTCTCTCTCAGTACTTTCTGATTTTCTCAGCCCGTCAATACCACCTGTCCTGGAGCTCATTCGCTAAACAAATAGGGTCAAAATGTGTATGTTTAATTTGTTTGGTTTACGGTATATGCAGAAACAATTATGTGGATGTTCTGCTTCAGTTTACGATGAGGTGTATTACACAGGACATACAGACAGACTGGGGACGCTGGATGCTTCGCACCCTCACCAGAGGAGGGGGGTCCCTGATGCCCAGTGTTTCCACGCCATCACACTCACGGTCACATTCTACATGGTGCAGGTTATCCACAGTTTTAAACTCTGATATCAAACAGACTCAAAAATCAAAGTGGAAGAACACAAAATAGTGTATAAAATCAGAATGAATGAAGTGTTTATTAAATCACTATTTATTAAAGAACCACAGAAAACATAGCTTCATTTTTCCTAAAATTCAGTGACCTAGCTTGGTTTGAGTTTGAGGTTTAAGGAGGAGCTTCGTTAATTCTGCATGTATGCTGCCAAAGTGTTCTAACTGTCTAACTATCCATGATGAGCGAGTTTTATCTGGAAGAGATTCTCGGTCAGAGAATCTTTTTTTACCTGCAGTCAAGCACCTCAGTGCTGCATGTTTGAATAAAAACTACAGCGCATGTCCAACTTTTTTCTTTGTTTGATCACCCAGTATATGTGTTATGCCATTAAGAGACCCCATTTAACTTAAAAACAATCTTTTCCGGGACTTTAGACAAAAAGAGCAACTTAGAGATCAGCCTAAAGTTCGACAGAACTGAAGCGTCTAAATTAGGTTTCTCTAAAAATATGTAAAGCCATTGCATTTTTAAAACAACCGCACATAATTGGGGAGTCGATTTTCAGCACGAACAGCTGTAGCTCAAACGAGGAATAAACATCATGGTCGTTAACCAGCAACACATCACATGTGGCAGACACACTGGCCTCAAACACAAACAGGTAGTGTGCTCCGGGGGAATCCAGCGTTGATGAGCTGATCACTAACTGCTGCGGGGGATTCACAGACCGGCTGGTGGTAGGTTAGATCCGGTCAAATAAAACAACAAGTCCCTACAGGAACATTCACAGAAATGCAGGAACCTCAGGCCCTGCATTTTTCTCCACATCCTCTGGTCACAGTGCAGCAGGAGGGAAGATATATCCACAAAACCAGGAGCAGTTGAAAAATTCTGCTTTTACAATGTCACTGGTGGATGTCAGGCAAACTCACATGAACGTGCAACGGCCTGGATTTCCTGGAAATCCTTAAACTATCACGTAATACTCTATTTTGTTGGGGGAAAAAAGTCTCATAAGCAAGAGTTTGTGAGGTGTATAACTGGTTGCTTCTGCATAGAAATACTAGAACATACGTTCACCTCATTTTTTGAGCTTTAGCTCACATCTAAGATAAGAATTCACCGTTGTAACATTGTAGATAAGTCAGAAAACAAGGAAAAGCCATGGGCTCTTTACAATTTGACAACAGATAAATGGATGTGAGACCCCCTCCTCTCCTAGAAGAACACAGAGTAAAATAAAAACAACAAAGTCAGGGGGAGCAACTCAGAAAACCAGGTTAAATCACCGACCTTAAGCCAGGTCTCAGTCACCATCATAAAACCCAGTTCACGAGACGTGAAAAAACCATCCAAGAACAAATGTCTTATTTGTTAACAATCTAGTGTTTAGGATGAGGTAGCTTGCTGCTGTTGCATAATATATCCAGACTAATTATCACAAAGTTGGTACATTTTATCTTTGTTGCTTCAAGGCAGGAATTTGTTTCCAGCTCAGAAACATCGTCCACGCTGCCCCCAGGGGAACGGTGCAAGAACAAGAGAGACTACCGTGAATATGTCACAGAGCAGAAACTGTCACTTGGTCCTGACTGGAGCAGATGACATGGAACCAAGTGGGATCCATATCCAACAGTGCAAGGCAGCCAAGGTGGCTGAGCCTGAGGTCAGCTATGCTTCTGTCACATGTGATTGGTTCAAAGCCAAAGGAACTCATGTGCAATAACCATAATTCAATACTTCTATGATGATATCCTGCACTGAGATAGTCTGCTTTCTGTTTTGAAAGAACAGACACCCTTGATGGATGGTTTGGACACCTTCTAATGAACAAGCTAGTGCACATGAACTGTTTACTACCACTGTTGTTGCTCTGTGTAAACACTGGGTTTTGGCAATGACAGGCCCCCTCACAGAAACATTGCAAAGCATGAACACACACCCTCTTCTGAGACTATTTATAGCTCTGTGGGCTTGGGATGCTTCGAATCGTCTTAGCACTCACCACTGTTAAAGGAGGGCTGCAGATGTGTTTCCCTGCCTTCCCCTCTGACCTCTGACAACTGAGTGAAACCACCCAAATCACTTTAAGACTGGCTGGATTAAAAGCGTGTTGCAACAAGGCTCAGTCACTTGTTGTTAAGAATGAAGATGTAATGAGATAGACAAGTTTTCCTTTCAGCTGAAATGCTGAATACAGTGATTCCTCTTTGTTTTGACTACCAAATATTGACTTCTTTGCTTCTAATATTGTGCTGAAAACAGATACAGACAGACGTTAAAGTTAAGAAACAATACAATAGAAGTGGAAGCCTGCATAAGACAGTAAATACAGTTGACATGGAGGTGAGATTGTTTTATGGGATTTCATTTTTCTGTACTGACGAGGAAAAAGAGCCGTGAGCTTGTCTGCCACTTTTCCACTGGACTTAAAACAAACATCCGAGTATCGATCTGAATCCTGTTACATAAGGGGAGCGTTCATCCAGTGGGGATATACTGTATGTAATTTCCATGTTGATGGAACATATGAGTTAATTCATACAACTGGGGAAAATGAACATTTTTTTCAAGGGAGCTCAAGTTGTGGCAGGAAGGAAAGAAGATTCCTTATTACACAATGACATGCCAGCACAGCCCAGTCTGGAGTCCTGTCAGTCGATATCTGCTGCTGATTATGACGCAACCTCATTTTATTATTCACCTGGATGTTTTACCTTCACTCTGCATGTGCAGAGTTTGACACCTGGAGGCTGCTGTTACAGCTCATCTGCTGAAAAGGGGAAGTTTTTCCACTTTAAATCTGAGATGAAGATGTGCACATGTAAGCACAATGTTGTGATAACACAATGTCAGGGAGCCAGACATGGTCCAGTATGGACAGATGTAATGTGAGCTGCAAGAGGATAAGTGGATTTTGTCACCTTCAGGTGGACCTAGGCTGCTGTTAGGTATTTTTAGTCAGATAGAAATTGGATAGATACTTTATGTATTAGAAATGTTTAGTGGAGATAGGATGTCTAGTTAGACTGTTAAATGCTTAGTCATGCTTATGAGTTTCTACAGGGTACATCTGGTCAAGGATAACTAGAGAGAAGAGTTGATGACTGTCAGCAGACAGGATGTTTAATATTATTATTATGACGTGTATAACTGTAGCCTTAGCCATAATAGGTTCTTATGTTTAAGCCACGACATGTTACTAGAGGTCGTGAGAATGTTTTTAGCTACACACCACTTAACCAACAGACACACACAATTTGCTTCATGTTTTGACTACTACTATGACCAGCTGCAAAGCTGGTAACAGAGACGTCTCGGTTGACGTTTCTGTGTAGTATGGGGCTAGCCCAACCAAGGTGATATAATGTATAGGCCTGGTGGGTTCAGGGTCTTTCATCTTACATCTGCCTGTGAGCAGTTTGGAGGTGGAAGATACCCGAGCATGTAATGTTAATTTTACCTGTGATCCTTTGAATAAATCAGCACTGTTCTGAAGTTACTTGGACTGTCTCGTCTCTCAGAGTTAGCATGGTAAGACGGACCATATCCTACACTGGCTTTGTCCACCTGTCTCCAGCCTTTGTGCTATGTTAGCCAGCTGTAGCATCATAACTAGTGTACAGACATGATGGTGGTGTTGGTCTCCTCACTTAACTCTGAATAAATTTGCCAGAAATGTAGAACTTTTCTTTCACTGGGGTATACTGTCTTAAAATCCACAGAATATTTAAACTCTTATCCATATAATAATAATAATAATAAATCACTTTTATTGGCCAAGTATGTTACACACACAATTTGTCTCCAGTACAGAACTGAGGCAGCCATCTGCCGCACCCAATCAGACACAAACACACCAGCCACCCCATAAATTACCACTGTATATATCTAAAAGCTTGTTCGCACATTGTATATATGTACATATGTTGATTCATAGATTGTTGCTTGTGTGTCTCTTTTTTAAAGGTCCAGTGGAAGATTTAGAAGGATTTATTAGCTTAGAATGAGCCTCTACATAGGAGCGGGTCCCCACCACGGAGGCCGCCATGTTTTACGGTGGCCCAGAAGGGACAAAACCACACACTGGCTCTAGAGTGCGAAGTTCGCATTTTCATGTTGAAGTAGCAGTTTGGATTTGGAGACATTGGAAGAAGAAGTAGTGCTGTTGTGAGTTCGGACCATATCCTAGACTGGCTTTGTCCACCTGTCTCCAGCCTGTTCGCATTTTCATGTTGAAGTAGCAGTTTGGATTTGGAGACATTGGAAGAAGAAGTAGCGCTGTTGTGAGTTTAAGAACTGATTAGAAGAAATGGAGACTGATAGTTATTCTTTAACACAAGAAAAAGAAGACTGTGTGAATCCCTGTTGTCAAAGAAGCAAAGACACAATGAAACGAGACAGGTGATGGCACAGGACGAGGATAAACATTGGTGTGGCCTTTCCCAGGTGGAAATCCTTGATGAGGGACAAATGTTTCCAGAATGACTCCGAAGTTTCCTGTTTTCTGCCGGACAGGCAATTTAGCAAGTAAAGTTAACCGAGTATGGCCAGTGCTGGGTAACCCACTGCACCCACCTTAGCCTTTGCTCAGTCAAGTCGACCGCACCTGTTCTCCGAATGCACAGTTTGTCCTAAGTTTACTGTAATCACTGTGAAAGGGCTGTGAGGGCTGTTTGCAATCTGCAGCCTCACCACTAGATGTCACTACATCTCACACTGCACTGTTAAATTCACATATTTCTTCTGGTTGACTTACAAAAAGCACATTGACAGCTATTGTACCGGAGTCATATTCCTTGTGTGTTCAACATCCCTGCCAAATAAAGATGATCCTGATTCTGATTTTGAAATAACAGTTTAGTTGTGACCAGCTGGCGACACACCCCGTACACAGGACAGGCTCCAGACCCTGCGGCTCTGGGATACATGGCATAGAAAACATCTGAATGGGCGGATGGTTTAAGTACAAATATCACAGAGAGGTAAGAATTTGAATTAGTGTCGATGCAGAGAAGAAAAGCACAACGTATGTGGCCTATCGAAGAGTCGACCAAATGACCTGAATGGAGGCAAGACTCCATGCTTCCCTTAGCCCCCAAATTTCCTGGAAAGATTTCCAGGAGACACAATAGAATGCACACTTTCCATATCAAGCTTCCACTGCTTGAATTTAAAACCGCAATCACATATGTTACAGCTGGAAAACTCAAGCAGGGCAATCCTCTAACCCAGACAACTCTACCCCAGTGAGCAGTTTTACAGTGATGGAAAATACTGCTTGACCTCGGAAAAAGTGGCTTCTCTGAGAAAAAGAAAAAATTTATGGAAGTGCAACCTCAGCCGTCTGGACACAGGCAGTTTTCCTTTCTTAAGTCTGAGCCATATTCATTTACTCATAATGTCACAGGCAGCATCGGGGCCAGAACCACCAGACTGAGGAACAGCTTCTTTCCGGCTGCTGTGAGACTGATAAAGTCTGCATCACGTCACACTGAATAATTACTGCTACTCTGTCTCAGGATACTTGCTGCAGTTGTGACGGACCGCGCTGTACTTTCAGAGAACGTTTGCTCCCACATTAAAGCATTCTGCAGTTTTGTCCCATTTGTCTTACAGTGTTATTCCTATTCTGACACTATGCTCACTTCATATTAATTATTTATTCTAACCAGGACTTGAGGACTTTATTTTGTTCTCTTCATGTACAGAATGCACATGTTTTAGACTGACAACATACATGACTGAACCTTAAACCACCTGAGCTGGGTAAGAGCTCTGTAACAGTAGAGGAATTTCCATCTGGTAGACGAGGCTGCTGGAGGGTGTCCTCCGATACGTCGGCTCTGTCCGCTGTGGTTTACAGACTCATTCCAGTCATCTTGTTCACCAGTAGTCTAGCAGACTCGCTCACTCAGACTAATCCATGTCTCAATCCAAAATACATCCTCTGATTACAACGTGCACATGTTTCTATGAATGTCTTTGTGTGGGAGTCAGTCAGTCATCCCTAGCTCACCTGTAGCTGCAGCGAGACGTCACACTGGTACCAGGAAGAGAGACCACGTCTCACTGGCCTCTTCAAAGTTTACCAGTTAAATATAGAGCTGGTTTGAACATTCTTTTATTTGACCTCTGACCTGTTCCCCACTCACAGTCCATCTCTGGAGGAGATGGAACCGTTTCCACTGCTGCTCCAGGTGGTGGCACAGTGTCAGGTCTGTTTGCAGTCTCAGCTAAACAGCCATCTTTCTGCAACAAGCTCCCAAAACTATCAACTTAATGACATATTTGTTCTAAAACAGCAGTGATAGAATTAAATGTATTATTATTTACTTGACTTTAATATTTGCCTGTGTTGTGACTGTTTTCTAATGTGCTCTATAAACAACCTGTCTTTCTACATTAATATGAACTGAATTTGTACAAATAAGCATATTTTTCACACACATTCTGAGAAAGATGTTCATTTGCCTTCCTACACAAAAGTTATGTTAAAGCACTGATTCCTATGGAAGAGGATTAGAGCTGCTGTACAACATGTTTTACACGGGTCCTAATTCTCTTCCATTGTAATAATATGTTCATTTAGATATAGAGTATTAATGGAGAGTCCACTGGACACAGCCTGGCTAGCTCAGTGTCTCCTGTTGACAGACTAAGTGTGGTAGTGATCCTCTCCTCTAACTGTTGTCAATAAAACAAATAAACCTATTTGCATCAAAATTTCATTTAAATAAATGTCAAAGTACTGTTTTACATTTGATCCACATTGTTCACAGACTGGAAAAGTCGATTCTCGGTTGGATTAGATCAAAAGGAGAACTGGTTTGACTAAACCCATACAGTTTGAAATGTCTTCTGAAGTCCGTGGTCATCAGCAGCGTTCCACTAAACACAGGTCAGGAAACAGGCGCTAATGTGAAGTTTAACTTGACTCCTGGGTGGTTTGTACTACAGCTCCCACTCCTAGACCATATCAATGTGAAACAATCAGAACAATCTGTGTCTTGACTCACAGTAAGTAAATATGGATAAACTTTATCTTCTGACCACCTGAAATCACCCAAATTTAACTATAATTATAAAACTGTGGCCAAGCACAACATTTGCTGCTAGTGTTTAAACATCTGTGTAATTTAAGGTGCTTCAGCTTCAAACTTCCAAAGGCTTCGTTCGTTCATCATCAGTCTGGAAATTAAAGGGGAACCTCAGCACACGAAGGCCCGTTTGGCAGCAGTGGTGGGATTTAAAGTAGTGTGGGGCAGTTAACATGAAGTGTTGGCAAATATCACTGTCACATACAGTCTGTCGTGTATTCAGAGAAGCTTTCCCCCCCCCCCCACCTCTTTTTTTTTTTTGGGCCAGTCTATGTAGTGATGTTCAGCCTTGTTTTTCCACTGGGACAATCAGAAGATGCTAGAGATTTCCATTAGGAAACAGAACTGGATGCTTCCCTCACTACTGGCAACAATGGAATTCTTTATATTCCAAAACTAGCCATGGTCCCTCACATATACTCTAAATAAGCACTTGACAGCTGTCTGGTCTTTTAGATTTACAGACTACTAAACTATAGAACTACTAGACAGAACGGGCTTCTAGTAAACGGTGTTAAGTACATTTCACGTTTGTGGCCTGTAATCAAACTTTGGAGTTATTTTTTGGGTTTTCTCTCTCTCCTGCAATGTCCTACAGTAATTTCTTCATCCCTACAATGAAGTTCTTGTGTGCTACTGTCTGAGAGAAGCCGCAGAAATGCCTTGGCGCAGGAGTCGGAGACGTCATGGATTCCTGAGTGTGGGGCTTTGCAGGAAAGCCCTGAGTCTCCGACATGGAGCGGCTCCAGGTTTCCATGGCAAAGGCGCACAAACAGGAGGAAACACTGAGGGAATCCCGTTATTTTACAGCATTGGGCCATTATAAACAGCCAGAGCGAGGAAGGAAGTCGCTCTTGATACTCAAGTAATCCTTACAGAGCTCTAGGAAAGGGGACTTCTCACCAGAAACACTGCTGTAGCTGATGCCGCTGCATGTTTTGGGGAGTCTGCGCGCAGCTGCCGTGTCCCAGCTTTAAGCTTTTTCTTCTTCGTCTCTTTTTAACATTTTTAACCGAAAGGAACTTCTCCTGCTATGGTTGTTAGAGCAGAGTAATTTTTCATTTCTTTGTTTTGTATTTCTTCTTCACCTTTTTTCCTCCAGATGTTTAGAGATACTTGGAGGCTGGCACAGTACCACACCATGAGGTCGATGGATCAAGGTACTGCTGAAGTGTTGTGATTATCTGGTAATCAACCCATTTGATTTTTAATTGATAGAGTAGTGTTAGTCTTGGTTTGCGTAGCCTATGACTAGAATGATGCGATGTGATGTGTCAGCTGTCTGTGGAGGGTCGACGTGCTGCTGTTTGGGTAGGGACGCGCTGTTCATGTGCCACTGGCATCACATGGAAGCTCGGGGGGAACTGGGAGCCTGTCAGACACAGATTCATATACAACGAAGAATGATTTAAAGCTGTCCAAATGTTTCTGTATAGGTTTTAAAAGTCTAGTGAGGTTAACGCAATAGATCAGAAAGTCTGTTGTACTTATTTGACTACATCAGGATGCAGACTGAGGACAAGAGCAAATATTGGTTTTCAGGACACGTGAGTCTGCCTGACGATGTGTCCGGAGTTAGGCTCGGTCAAAGACACACGGTGCCACATGTGTTTTTAAAGACGCTCATGCTTGTCACTTGTGTAGAACAGTCTGAAAAGTTTCCCAGATGTATTTTCTTCTATTATGTGTAACAACGTGACTTTCTAGGTCATTTGGGTTGGTTCCATATTAACCAATCAAAAGTATAATAAACTTAGGATGGCCGTGGGCTTCATGACGCACATCATATCATTTTGCTGAATTAGCCCATCGGGTGTTATCAACACAACTGGAAGGGACACCCGGACTGTGTAGGCCACAGCATCGTGCGTAAATCTGGGGATTCCCTCGGGAGGACTCGTTCGTTTTTAGTGACTGTGAGAACAGAGACGTCTAATCCAGGACGGGTCGAGGATAAACTGCTTGGTCTGGCGATTCAGTAGTGCAAGTAAATGTCTCAGTCCAGTTTGATCCATCCAACCAACGTGGAACGACGCCGTTAACTGACTGATGTCCAGTAAGTCGGTCTAACGGCTGCTGAGTCCAGCCAGCACCCTGCTGTGTCACTGCAACGCGTCAAACGCCCGGGGGCAGCATAAGGCTGCAGTCTGTCAACACACTCCCAGTAATGTGTTTGAACGGGGCAGTTAATTCATCACTTTCAAGATGTACGTTTGCTTTTTTCAATAAAGTATCGACGAATAAGACAGAAACACCATCGGAGTCGGAGAAGAAGTTGAAAACCGTGCGTTGAGTGTGAAAATAGACCCGCCTTCATCTATAAATAACAGAGGCGAGCTGAAACAGGAAACCTGTGCGCTTCACCTCCTGCAGCTCACTGATGCATCGTTTGACACTTGGACAGGTTCCCCAGATCAACATCAGCCGCTTCTGAAGTCGGAGGACTCGTTTGGACAAGATCTAGACAGATGAGCTCTTTTTACAACGAGAAAGATTTGGAGGAAGAGCTCAGTCGAGTCAGCTGCCCTGATGACGATTTGGAGTTTGACTACTTGTTTGAATATGAACCACCTTGCAGCGACTTTGCTGGGGGACACCAAGGTTTGTCCGAGGCTTTTGGGCACCAGGAGTTGACTCCTCACCTCTCTTGGTTATTTGGTATCTAAAAATTCATACGGGGTCTGTAAGGTTTACTGGTGCAAATGAAACAGAAAATCAGGAAGTGAATTTGACATGTTTCTGGATGAAGCTCCGACCATGTGACAAAACATGTCAGCATGAAAAAGCTTATGTCTTTTCACCTAATAAAAGTGTGTTTATATATTCTGTTGTGTTTAAATGAGCTTCAGTTTTACAATGCAATACCTTTGTGTGCAGGTGAGTCCACTGATTGTGTTTATGGTGGTGCACATTCACAGTTGTGATGAATTCCAGTCTCGGGGGACACACTGTCGTCATTATTGCTGTAATATCTCTGGCTGTGGCAACATCCATGTTTTTCAAATGCGTAAATTGTGATTCATTCTACTTTTTGCTCCCCTGCAGATGACCCCAGCCTTGCATCTCACAAAGTCCTCAGTCCTGGGTCTGAGCAGGCTTTTCCTTTGGGGGAGGCCTCTCCATACGGCATCAAGTCCTGTAGTCCCTCCTGCAGTGAACACAACACCGAAGGTCTGGCAGTATATGACAACCAGGAGGCCAGAAACTTCCCGGACACTATCAGGCCTGCAGGTCTGGCTCTGAGCCCACGGATTGAAATCACCCACTACCGTGAGCACCCCAGCCATGGTCGGGACTCCCTGCAGAACCACCACCTGAACATTAGCACCCTGACTGTGCCTGGCCATGAAAGCCTTGCCTATCGTGAGCCTCAGTGCCTGAGTCCTGCCAGCAGCAACTCCTCCACCAGCTGGCACTCAGAGAGCTACTCCCCCTGGGCGTCTCCCTGTGTGTCTCCTAGCAGTGGCCAGAACCCCGGAGACCTCTGCCCCCGATTACAGAACATCCACACCGGCTCCCCGCGCACCTCCCCGGGCACCTCTCCTCACACCAGCCTAACTGAGGAGGGCTGCCTGGGACACCGCTCGCCCTCCCCCAAACCTGGCTCCCGCTCCACCTCCCCACAGGGCAAACGCACCTACGACATGTACAGGAATCAAGGTTTAGCCCCTGGGCACCGCTCCCGCAGTCCCTCCCCCCACAGCGGCCATGAAGATCACAACATTGGTGCCCACTACACACACAGTAGTCTCGCTGATGCCATGAATGGATTTGGCACCAGTCAGCCAGGCCTGGCGCCCACTAAAATAGTCAAGACGTCCAACCAGGTTTACACTCTGTACCCAGAGAACCACGGACAGGGAAACTACTTGGTGTCCTGCGACCAGGACATAAAAGCCAAACCTGCAGAGCCGCTCTTTGTTATGCCCCCACTCTGGCCCAAGCCACTGGTTTCCAGCATCTGCAGGTATATTGGCAAGGAAACCACAGCTTATTGCTTTTGGTTTAACACACACCCACAAGATAAACTCCCACGTTCCACATTTTATTCATGACCTTAAATACTTTTCTGTGTCCTTCATGTTCAGCAGCATCCCTGTGGCTTCTCTCCCCCCACTGGAGTGGCCAATCCCCAGTCGCACAGACCAGTATGAACTCCACATTGAGGTGCAGCCCAAGCCACACCACAGAGCTCACTATGAGACGGAGGGGAGCAGGGGTGCGGTCAAAGCCCCTACGGGAGGACATCCAGTTGTACAGGTACACCTGAAACACTATCAGCTAAGTCAGTGTTGGCACGTTGTCAGGTTTGTGCATTAAATCAGTCTTCCAGTTTGGGAACCTCAGGCAGCCCTGAGGCCAAGGCGTCCATGTGATTGTATTTCCTACACACGACACATTCAGCGGTGCTGTTGCTCAGGGCCAGCTGGATGAAAGGGACTCTGCATGAGTTACTCTCGCTACTGTTTTCTCCACTTTCTGAAACAACTCATATGTCTGAGTCTAACCTCAGACACGCAGTATGGCGGACTGTCACCATGCTGTAGCCTGAAACTGAGTCAGCGGGCAACACAGGTTCTCTTTGCACTTGTGCACCTTCGCCCCCGTGGTTTTGACCACACAAACAAATATATACTGGTGTTGTCTGTGACTTCCTCTGACACACTGTTTGTTGAGGGCGTGGCTCTCATATTAGGAAGTGACCTGAAGTGTTGTTGTACATTGTTTATGTCTGTGTAAATTCTCAGTCATAGTCTGCTGAAAAAATCTAGAAGAAAGCATCTGGAAAACTGTGTCGAGATGCTTTCTTCTAGATTGCCTCATTGACCTCATGGCTGGAGTTTAACCTCAGCATGTCAAAATAAGCTGCGACACAGTTGTGTTTGCAACAATGTCCAAGAATAGGTTGAACTTCCCTTTTCTGTGTTACCGTGGCAACATTTCAGTTTCGTCTTTGTTAGTGATAGTATTTATTTGGTGGAAATAAAGCATCTCTTGCTGCTTTTCCATTTTCTGCCCATCCCTGAAGGCCTCTCCCTGAGGTCAGTTCTGCCTGGTTTGCCAGCCCAATCAGATGGTCAGGCCCGACTAGCCACGGCTGCAGTCCTTCACCTCGCCTTTCCCTTCCTTTTGCCCTCCTTCACTCTTTTTCCGTCTTCCTCTCTCTCTCTCTCTCTGAGGCTCACACTTTTCCTCTGCCATGACTCACCGCTCCTTGTGCTGCCATGACAACCGGCCGACTGCTCACATGGCCTGCTGAGTGTTTGCAGTCAGCTTCCCATTTCACACAGTGTGTCAGCTCCCTGGATACGGAGCCAGCGTGCTCTATCATGTTGCCATAGTCTCTGCTCACATTCAGCAGCTGCTGCGAAGCCTGACAGTTGCATCCACTTGGATCATCATTTCTACAGTGTGACTGGTGCACACAAGTAGTTTTTCTGATCGTTTATCTGAAGGAAAGGTTTCTCACTAGGATACATGATAGAAAGCAGCAGATTTTAAGTAAATATTTTCAGGTAATCATGCTCACTGCACAGATAGTCACTTGAAAAAAGTACTCTAATGTTTATTAGGTCACTCTGCAGTGAGCTCATTCTGTGATGAAGGTTGTGCACTACACTGTTTGCACAAAAACAGCATTTAGATGCAAGCTGATGCTTTGTGGTTTTTGCAGGTTTCCTCAGGAGGCACTCTCAGGTCGCTAAAAGTAACAACGCTACCTCTCTCAAGTTCGCGCTTTTATCTTTTTACTATTTTAGTTACTACAGCAGGACAATAGGTCTAATGCTGTATGTGAGCGGATGGCTGTTTTCTGTTCTCTCAGTGAAAGAGAGGACCCTTGCAGTATTCTTCATCCAGCTATGACAGAGCTGTTACAGGCTGTGGGATGTGAGCTCTCTGTTGGCTTCTGTTATACATGGGTCTGACATCTGGAAATGCAGAGTTGGAACAAGCTGTGAGAGAACCACAACCAGCTTCAAGTGACTCCATACGCTGATGCATCACCTGACTGCAGGAGCTTTAAGTGAAGCTAAAATAAAAGTCAGTTTCTTGTGACTTTTTGTGTCTGCAGTTACATGGCTACAGAGGCAAGGAGCCCCTTGGCCTGCAGATCTTCATCGGTACAGCAGACGAGCGCATCCTCAAGCCCCATGCCTTTTATCAAGTCCACCGCATCACTGGCAAGACGGTTACGACCACCAGCTATGAGAAGATGATCAACGGCACCAAAGTCCTCGAGATCCCCCTCGAGCCAAAGAACAACATGAAAGCAATGTGAGATTATCCTAATGTGCATTAGATGGAAGAATGTAACAGTTTCCAACACCGACTATTTTTCTAATCTAAACCTGCCAGCGTTGCTCACAGATTGGTTCCTTTTCACAGAATCGACTGCGCAGGGATCCTGAAGCTGAGGAACGCCGACATCGAGCTGAGGAAGGGCGAGACGGACGTCGGTCGGAAAAACACCCGAGTTCGCCTTGTGTTCCGTGTACACATACCTCAGCCCGGAGGGCAGCACGTCTCTCTCCAAGCCATCTCACAGCCCATCGAGTGTTGTAAGCAGCTACGCCCACAGTATTTTACCATGCTTTCTGTGCCAACTCCTCTTAGAAGTGGTTTCAAGTTGTGACACAGTGCAGGCTTTATGAATTCAAACTAATGATGTTTTCCTCAGTTAACAAAACTTTATACAAAATAAACATAAAAAAAAATCCACATTCAAATGAGTTTGGAGTTTGGCTGATCGTTCAGAGGTCTGTGCACAGAGATGTCTTTATGCAAGCAAGGCTTCCATCCAGTAGGTGGGCGCTGCACGTTTCTGTGTCTGTATAACCTGTTTGTATGTGTGCACTTAGTAAAGTCTGTGTTTGGGGACATCAGTGCATGTGTACACAGTGTTAATAAAACACCTGGTGCAATCAAATGTCAAACAAGAAGGCCCCTTGTCTAGCTTTATCAGTGTGACGCCAGCTGCGTGCAATATGCTGCTGTCACTGTACTATAATGTTATAATGACCACTCCTCATCTCGTCACTGTCTGTCTGTCACAAGACGAACTGTCAGCGCTGACCGATCAAGGCGTACAGTTACTTGCAGTCAGGCTTGTTTAGAAGCAGGTCAGCTCGACCCCTGTTGGTGTCGTCCTCTTTGTTCTGTCTACAAACCTGTACAATGGTCACAGGGTTGTTAGTCGACACCTCGGTGAGGGTAGAGTTTCAGCTGAGCTACGAGTTGAGGAAGCAACGCTGAACACTGTGTAGGATTATCAATGTCTACACACCCAACAGTTAGAGAAATACTATCAGTAACACAAACCCCTTCACATGCACCTTTTTCTTTCCTCATAAGTAGATTTTTTTGATCTTGTTGTGTTGTCTAACGTCATATATACTCTATTCTGTATCGGCTTATTCCAACTCATTGAAGCTATATGATGGGTCACATATTTAAACCAACACTTTAGGAGTCATGAGTCACTGATACTCAGAAGTTTATTTGGTTTTATTCAACATGTATTTAAATTTAAAAGGATGTTCTGTGGGCTTTAGCAGTCTTCTGCCTGATCCCTTGTTTAAAGCCTAGCAATCAGTCACCATCACTTATTCAGAAATTAGAAAACAGCAATACTTTAATAGACTTTACAATGTGATATTTACTCAAACTTCTTAAGATTCGAAGCTTCACGTACTGTGAAGCTGATTAAATATTGAGGCTTTTTGTATCGGCTTGCATCACTGTCAGGTGCTCTTTATATTCTGTCCCCCACCTGTACAGTCCTCTACTGTACGTAGAGTAAGACGACCTAACAATCTCTGTTACTGTTACTTAGTGTGAGTTCATGGATTTATAGTGCTGCCTATTAAAACTGAAAGCAAGGCTCACGATGGCTGCGTGAGTCAGCATCCTCTCTTTATCGTAAAGCACCATCATTTCGTGGTAAGTATGTAGTTGTGCATCTGTGAAAAGCCACGTCATCTACACTGTTGTTGTAGAATGTAGACTGTCGATTTAATCTGCAGACTTCTGATTAATGGTTAGGTCCATGAAATGTCACAAAGCAGTGGACCTCACATCTTCTGTTGTCCAAAACTCAAATGGAGTTGGATTAAAACAGGAAAAGTCTTAGTGGGGAAACTGGACATTTCACGAGTTGTGCTTAAAAAATGACAAACAATGAATCAGTTACTGAAAATGTTTATTACTTCTCTGTCGATGGACTAATTGATTAAATGGCTCCTCCCTTCAGCTGTAGATATACACTGGGCTATGAGGAGTCTTCTTACATTGTGTGTGTTTGACTGGGAAGTGTGATGGGAAACCGACAGTAAACACTGCACACCTCCTCTCTGTGTGTCCCTGCAGCCCAGCGTTCAGCGCACGAGCTTCCCATGGTGGAGAAGCAGGACATGGACAGTTGTTCTGTTTTTGGCGGCCAACAGATGATCCTGACTGGGCAGAACTTCAGCTCGGACTCCAAGGTCGTTTTTATGGAGAAAACCCAAGGTGAGGAAACGCATCAGCTCCATCATCGCTCACGTGTTGTTTGAAAATTCATCGTTTTATAGGTGGATTGTAACATGTTTGTTGTTGCCTCTGGTTGAGATTTACCGACATCTGGTTGGTTTTATATCCTTTCATGGAAATGAAATGCATATATTCTTCTACCCTGTCATTTTAGCAGGTGTACCTGATGTTATGACCCATATTCTGGAATTTCTAGGCTAAAATGGGATGATTTAACAATGACTGGTACAATTTCACATCTTTGTGTCACTTGTTTTAGGTCATAAAGGTCACCCAGCCTTTGACACAAGCTAATTTGAAATTAATATTTTGAGTAGCATTAGATTTCTGTTGAGGTGATATTGCATGTAGGTTTTTGTTTATTGACGCAAATCATGGACAGTTCTGTATTTCAGTCCTCAGCAATTAACCTCGAGCCGCTGCTTGACGGTTCTTTGGGAGGGACAGTTATGTTAGAATACTCTATCTGATGTTGCGAGTCCACTGCTGTCTGACAGCAGCATGTTTGGCTGTTTTAAATGCAGGCAATCCACAGTCTACCTCAACTAAAACTTTAGACCCACACACCCTGGCTAATTTTCTTTTTTTTCCCCTGTGGGGTTCCCTGCCGCGGCGTTACGCAGCAGTAATGGATAGTAAAACAAACACAGAGAAAGAAATCTTACGGAGACGGGTTGCCATTATTTTGGAGAGTTTCTGTATGACACAAAGTTCTGGAGCAGAGCAGCTGTGAAATCCCTCTGAATGAGAGACAGCTGCCTCTGGCTGGAGCTGCCCTGGCGCTTGTGCTTGTGCTTGGCCCAGGGTTTTATTGAGGGAAGGAAAGCTGCCCCCGCCAAATGAAGTCTGCGCAGCCGCTCTCTCCAGCTCCCTCTTTTCTACCGCCACACACACGGCTCACCCCAGAGGGAGAACAAGAGTCGGGGTATCCCTCAGTGTAGAGTTGTAACAAAATGCAATCATGGGCCAAGACAGCAGAAACCATCGTGCTTTAGAAGATGTGGAGAGAGTTGATCATAAAAGTAAAGTTTAGAAGAAAAGCTGGCAAGATGTGTGGAATCCCCCTTCCTCCTGCTGACTCATATGACATGCGTTTTCAATTTGCAGTTTAACATGAGGGTTTCCTACCTACAGTAACATCCAAACAGAGCTCACTGCAGCACGTGTCATGTCATGTGTTAGGGCATAAAGAGTTGACATTTCACATTTAGCTTTCAACTCTTTCAACTATATGACAGCTCAGATGTAATCTGACAAGGTGTGGCATAACATAACAAACCGTCATCGCACTGGAACCACGCATACGCTGGCACTTCTCATCACGTCCCTGCTAATGTTGTGTTTCTATGTTACACACTACTGTCCTGTTGGCGCTGCATTCGAGGGACAGAGAGCAACTGTCTTTCTGATTAATGGATGTCTGCAGGGGTATTTGGGGTAAACCTCCACGTCACCGCTGCCTTTAGGCGTGCGTGGTGGTGGAAGAGGAAGTGGCTTAGAAACTGATATTATCTACCTGCACCATGAGGCATGTTCTGTCCACATTCATTTTAAAACTGTGACAAAACCTTTTTGTTCTAAAGTGCTTTGAAAATACAAAAACCTTTGAGTAAGGTGATTTCCCTGTGGTTAGGATAAAGCATTTTCCAAATTTATAGGCTAAAGATTTGCTGAACGATGACACAGTCTGGGACATTCAGTCAGCCTCACTTTACTACCACATTGTTTGACTGCAACTGGGTTTTTACTTTCTCTCACTGGTTCCTTCCAGATGGGCAGCAAATCTGGGAAATGGAAGCAACAGTGGACAAAGACAAGAGCCAGCCTGTATGTATTATACACCACAGCGTTCCTTAACTGCTGATACTAAGTTGTCACTTGTCTCGATGTAGCAGCACAGCTCAAATAAAAGAATCTGTCTCCGTTTTGTAGAGCATGCTGTTTGTGGAGGTGCCGTCCTACAGAGACACGTCTGTCTGCCATGCTGTCAAAGTGAACTTCTACGTCATCAATGGCAAGAGGAAGCGCAGCCAACCTCAGCACTTCACCTACACGCCACTGCCATGTAAGAATGTTGCTCAGTCTCACAGCTTTATCACACTTTGGTATCTGAGTGTAAAGTGATTGGATAAGAATGATTGTAGCACAGAAAAGATCCTAGCACACTGTTACTTTCTCTCAGAATGTTAACAGCGATCTCTTTTGACTTCGTTCAGCTCCATCCATCAAGACAGAGCCTATCGATGAGTATGAGGCGGACCACATGGGCTTTGCCATACCTCAGATCTTAGGCTTATCTCCTCACTCCTACTACCACACCCCACGCGGCGGCGTCCTCCACCCAGACAGTGGCCCAGTCTCCGGCATGGTCTCCTGCCAGCGGCGCAGCCCCAGCCTTTACCATCAGACTGGGGGGATGATGACTGACTCCCACCGATCAGTCCTGGTCCACACAGGCTCCCCAGCTCAGTCTGTGGGTCCCATCAGTGCAGGCCAGCACCCTTCTATCATCCAGTTCTCTCCCACTAACCACCACCCGCTTCGGGCAGGTGACCCTCAGCCTCTCACTGCTCCACAGCCTGACACCCAGCAGATCGTCTACTGCGATGGCTATTCCTCTCAGGCAGCTGCCGCTCAGTCGCCCACAGCCCCCCAGGCTCAGGTGGCTGTGACCCTCCCTCAGCACTATCCCACTGTGATCCAGCAGCAGCCCTACGCGCAGAAGGGCCAGCAGAAGAGTCGGGCTCCCCCTGGCACGGGCCAGATGGAGGCTCCAGGAGACGGACAGAGGAGGGTGACAGTCAAAGAGGAGAACTTGGACCAGGCCTACCTAGATGATGGTGAGTGTAAGTTAATGCTATTATTTTCTGTGTGAGTGTGACAGCTTGTCATTCAGTGTGCACCTTTATCAGTAGAATGAGGTGAGAACAAAACAGGCAAAGTGATGGATATGTACAGTACCCGTTTGTGAAAGAGATGGATGATAAGAGCCTCCAGCAGAGACAGGACCTTTCCTAAGAACAATTCAAGGATATTTACAATATCTGCACCATCTTCTTTTCAGACATCCTGCTCTGATCTACATGCTATAGTATCCCTCTGAGCAAAGCCAACAGAACAAGCACTGTTAAAACAATCCTGTTATGTTCCACTCAAGGTGGAAATAACAGGGATTATGAGTCATATGTTTATACTTATGCTTGTCAACCCTGTTACCCTCTGACAGAATTAATGTCAGGCCACAGTCAGCAGCAGCAGGACATTGAACTTCTTCCTTATTTTGAGTAAAAGGTTCTCCAATCTATAGCGTTTTATAGTTATGGCTGAAAGTGATGCAGTGTCTTCTGTTCTTTAGCCTGTGTCAGCCAGGTGAGGTTCAGAGGTTGTGAGCTCGTCATCGTGCTGATCCCGCTGCTTGCAGGGGGTCGTCTGGCACCGTCACCCTGAAGGAAATTAGTCTTTTTCTCCCTCGCTCGCATTAAAGACAGGGAGGGAGAAAAAAGTGTCACTCTCCTGATCGCCTGGACACGCTGACACTGTTATGAAGTGAAAAACAACTTCCACGGCAACCATTGTCAAACAGTGGAACGGGCTGCCTGGGAGAGCTGGGGAAAGCCTCTTTGTTTATTATCATTGGCCAGGGCTCCTCCTTGGCCTCGTGCCCCTCGATTCTAGGGGGAGCCCACCAGAGGATTAGCTTTTTTTCCAAACACAAGATTCTGCCAATCTGGCACAAGAAATTCCTATTTGCAGCTGTTCTCCTCCAGAAATCCAGAATGATCCCTCTAAGATAGCAGCAGGGTGGAGGGTTAGCAGGAAAAGGAAACAGGCTCTGTCTACGTGTTTCAATGGAAAAAATGAAACAAATAAAAAAAGGCCAACAATGGAATTTGTTTTTTTGGATGGAACTTGTAGGGTTTCCCATCCCAGTAAACAGCAACAGAGCTGGGAGTAGGTAAATGAACATGGAGTCAAAGGGACAGTGGAGCTGGGCCTCCTGTTTGAGGTCATCATGGCCAGGTGCCTCTGGGTCTTAGCTCAGGTTTAGTTTTTTCTTTTTAAATTCAGTTCTCACTGGGAATCTCCTGGAAGCTAATTGTAGTTATTTTGGTTTCTTAATTTTATCCCAAGAACTACTGATTTTATCATTTTAATATAATGTTTGGCTTCTATCGTATCCCTTCATGTAAAAACCGTGTTCCTAATGCATTAATATTTAGCTGTTGGACAGCGTCTCCCCCTCTTATTACCCCTACAGGCAGTGCTGGAAAGTAACTAAGTACATTTTCTCAACACACTGCCCGGCAGTACTTCAAATTATGAGCATCTAAGTAGTTAACATCAGCTCCACCATTACAAGCAGCAGCATTAAATGTGATGCACACAATAATACATCAATAATTAAAATCCAATAATATGATCTATATTCACGTAAACTGTGTATTTTTACACTGTAGTACTGCTACCTTTACTTAAGCAAACACACGAGTACTTCTCCCACCACTGCCAACAGGTGATAATACACTCACCCATATCAGTGTAGGGGTAAGTTGTCACCTCTTATGAGAAAAAGTGGGGGACTTCCCGATGTTTAAGACAAAGAGTGAGAAGATAAGTAAAGTGAAAAACCCCCTTAGTGTTTGTCTGCAGAGGTGTTGAAGCCTGATCTGACCACAAAATAATCATTTAAGTTGGGACCATCAAACACATTTTCATCAAAGTGAAATTGTCAACATTACTCATTGAGATGTGTGTTTCAGTCTGGAGTCATTTTTGAACAGAGTGTGATGCCACATCCTGGTATCGTCACAGTGTTGTGGTCGATAACTGTCACATCTCAGAGGTGTCTGAACTGCAACGATTTTAAGGGAAAATGAAAGTCAGGTATTTCATCTCGTACCAAAACGTAGCTCATCATCTCCCACACAGAGCTTTATCTTCAGCACTCACACAGGTTTCCATGGCTCCTGCTCAGATAAGATTTCTATATAGTGATATTTATTTATTACTATCTGTTCAACTGATTTAAAAAAAAAAAATACTCATAGAAACCTGCTTTATAACTTTGGACCATAAAAGGTCAGCGGTGTCTGGTATAGCGCACCACATGCCACAAGGTTTGTGAAAACAGAAAAGAGCCACTGGCATAGCCAACGAGGGCTGACAGATTAGGGGGTGTGGAATAAAGCCCGGAGGCAGTGGAGCAGGTGAAACTGTTCCAGCAGGTAGAGATCAGGGCCGGAGAGATAAAGCACACAGCCACAGCCTGTTGAACGTGCATTAGTCTCAGCTCACTGCCTTCCCATATGAAAGGCATGATCATATTAACCGTGTCCACTACAGCTGTAGTGATGAGCGGTTAACAGGTGCACTTGGTGTTGGTGTACACATAATTTCATTAATGTTGGTCATGTATGGGCCTGTTTCTGTTCGTCAGCCTCAAATGATGGATAGGTTCACATAGTCTTAAAATAATAGTCAGATATTCACACATAAGGATAATCACCTTTATTTGGCCAAGTATGTTACACACAAGGAATTTGTTTCCGGTACAGAACCGAGGCAGCCATCTGCGGCACCAACTTACACTAATGGCTCTAACCATCGGGGGCAATGGGGGGTTCAGTGTCTTCCCCAAGGACATTTCCACATGTGGACTGCAGACACCAAGATTTAAACTTCCAACCTTCCATTTGGGAGACGACCGCTCTACCCTTTATTTGCTTGATAACAAAGTACTGGACAAATTGAAGTTTTGACTTGTTGATGAAGATAATGTCAATTTGTGTTCTAAATTTTACATCACACTATCCAATAGCTGCTGAGACATGGATGTCTTCTTGCTGATCTGTAGTGGAGGCCCAGTGAAACAAAGGGAAATTTTCCTAAAGCACAGTATAACAATAGATAATAGGCAGCTGTGTTCACTTTCTCTGACAGCTGAAAGCTCATATTACCTGTGGCTGAACTTTGGAATACATTATTGCACAGAAAGGAATTGGATTTTTCCCCAGTTTATTCCACTGGAATCCTATTAGAAAGGGATGGCCTCACAGTCAGTGTAGTGTAGAGATGGAACAATAACACTACACACACGGGTGTGTAAGCACTGGCTCAAAACAGACAAATGTGGGCACTGACACACTGGCTCTGTGGTTAGACTGGTGGTTAGCTGTCAGTCCACTCACCTTACTTTCTCTTGTATCACTATAGTTTTTCGCTTCCTGCTGTCATCACAAGCCACATCAGCCTCACTCAAGCCCGTATTGTACGCCCCTCTACATACAAACACATACGGTATATAAGCATGTCAGGGACATGCACGTTCCAGCTCTCAGCAGGCAGTGTGCGGCCTCTGAGTCAGCTACTGTGCAGGGTGTCTCTCTCTCTCCCTCCTCCCACTGTCCGTTGGTAAACAGAGCAGCTCAGTGGTGCTGAACTCAGGAGCCAGACACTCATCCATTGAATAGACTAGCCTGAGTGTTCCGTGGGCCAGCATCAAATGGCCAGTGTGTGCCAACCCTTCATTAGATTCAGCAAAGCCCCACTGTGTTGCCCTGCTGTGTCGCTCTTGCTGCTTCTCTAAGCTTGTTTTTAAGCTCAGGAAAAATCCTGTGGCGCTGCTGGGGAGATGAAAGTTCCTTTAAGGCATTAAGTGTCAGAGGGAATTCCACTTTAGACTAAAATAAACAGGGATGCCGGTGTTGTGACGACAGCAGAGCACCCAGTTTGGCTGCTCCTGCAGTTTTACAATTCTCAGATGCTATGAAATGTATTTAGTGTTGAGCTGCTGAAATGGGCTGATTCTCTGTCACATCTGCAAATGATTGGACAGAAAAGCAGAAGGAGAGAGATATCAGCTTGTTGGATGGACGAGCATTTCTGTTTTGTTTTTGTGTGTGTCTGAGTGTGTGCGTGTGTGTGGGCGGGCGGCTGTGCCCATCACACTCTTATCTGTTTGCAGATGCTGATGTGTGGGTGAGATGGTGTCTGATGTCACGATGTGTATTTTAATAGCTGCACTCTTTGCTTTTCCAACATGTAAATCATGGCTTTAAATAGACCGTACACAAGCCAAGTGAAGGAAGTGCAAGGTAGTGGTAGCATTTAATATATAGCAGGTGGTGCTTTTAAAAGACAAATCATCTTACTGTCTTTTTCATCTTATATTCACCTAGTTTGAGTTTAAGGGAACAGTTAAACATTTTTATTCTCCTTGTTGCCAAGAGTTGCAGCAGTGGGGGATGGAAAAGGGAAAACAAACTAAAACATGTCCAATAAATGTGAGGCTACAGCCAAGTTAGCTTAGCTTAGCTTCGCATAAAGACAGGAAGCAGGGAAACAGCCAACCAGGCTGTAAAAGAGAATCTGCCTAGCAGCACCTCGAATGTTCACTCATCTTACACTTTATTTCTCAGTTGATTCCACACAAAAACCAAAATATACAAATTGCAGATCCTTTTGAACTGGCTCATGCTACGTCCTGTCTGCTTCCAGTGTTAACCCAAGCCAATCGGCTTCTGCCTACAGCTTCGTATTTAGTGTGAAGAAAGGAAAGTGGTTCTCATCTAGAGAGCTAGTGTATTTCCTAATAGCCGAACTGTAGTTTTAAAAAAAAGAAAACAGTGGTAACTATGGTCTATGCTAATAAGTCTTACAGACTGCTGAATGAGCCAGGTTTTATATACAGTATGTTATTGCTGATCATCAGATTTGACATCACATACATTGTTAATTTAGCCGATAACCCAATCCCAAGGTGTCATCACCATGGTCACAAAGTCACAGACACTATATGCTTTGTAATGTTGTGGGTTCTTTTATTCACTTTGATATTATTCTATTACTCATCGGGCCTAATGAGTCCCCCGAGGCACAGTGGAAGCAGTGGCATCATGTGTCAAAGTGCCACTGTACACAGACAGACACACACTAGGCTTCCAGGCCTTCGACTCCCAGATAAACACCAGAGCTGGTGTGGTGTAACTGGAGAGAGGACATGTTGCACGTAGTTGTCATTCTTTCCTGCTTAAAGCAGATGTACCTGTTGACAGAATGACTTGGCTGTGTGTGAACAGAGGTGAGCAGACACAGGTACTGCCACTCGGATGTCAGTGGTTGAAACCTGTAGTTTACATAGACGGGTATAAAGAATATTAATTATTTAATCCACAAATTCAGTATTTAATTCAATCTTAGATGCAAGACACAGGGTTTATACACATGCCCATGCTTCTATTTTTAGAGCCATGACAAAGTGAAAGTTTCCATTTCAACCTCCTTCCTCTTCTGTTGATGTGTATACACACACACACACACACACACACACACTTGTAGTCATCTGAGCAACAGGAAGTAAGTGCATGTACTCCAGGCATAGTTCTACCTCTAGTGGCTACTCAGCAGTAATGCAGTATTTACCTGCCTTCCATCAAAAGCTTCTGTTTGAATTTTATGGAATTTTATTGTAAAAATGCTGAAACTGAACCTGTCACCATCTAACATCCCTCTGTTTCTTTGCTGTGCAGTGAACGAGATCATAAGAAAGGACCTGACGGGTGTTCAGGCCAGAGGGCAGACATAGAGGATGGTCCTGAGCAGGAGATGACGACATATCCCCCACCACCAACACACACACACATATTCTTCAACCCTTCGGATAAAGTGACGCACGTCCACCAGCAATCAGAACTTCTCTTCCTCGTGTTCTTTACCCAGAAAGATAGAAATATCAGCTCTCCGGCTGCTGTGTTTGCTTTGGATTTTTTCCTGCAATAAACCTTTGACGAATGGAAGAACTCATCTCACCCCTAACGTCACACCAGCAGCGTTCCAGTAACAGGCAAATGTGCCTTATTTTGTTTATTTTCTCTTCACGATCCAGTTCGTTTTATAAAAGAAGAAATAAATCAGATCAATGCAAATAAGCTCGCTACAAGAGCATACTCTGCCCAGGTTTTACCCTCACACCAGGCGGCCTCCCACGTTTGCCACATGCTGCTGAATGATGGCTATGTAGCAGGTTCACGTGAAACACACAGAACTCGTTTTCTGAAGAAAATGTGTCGGTCAACAGGTTAATAAAAAAAATAATCAGCTCACTTACAGTGCCCAGAAAATTGGTGCACAACATAACGTATGCAGCTTTACATGAAGGAAAAACTTACAGGCTGATCATCTCATTTTAAGGGCTGTTTTCTAAGTGAAGTCAAACGCACGCTGCCTTAACCATATACATACAGGAACTATTGTGCCACCTCCTAGAGTGCACTGTTTTCAGTAACAGGGAGTCAATGTTTTTACTCTTTATAAAATATTAAGTCATGTGAAGAATGTATCTTTTTATAGTCATAAAATATAAATTGCATTATATTCAGGTGAAACGCCAAAGTAGCTTCACAGGAGCCGTTACTGCTACAGTGACAGGGTGGATCTACGTTTAGAAAATGATTTCTATGCTTGATTTGACGTTGCTTTCTTCAATCTTGCATTTAAAGTCATTTAGAAAACGTATCTGAAGTCTGGCTCTTGTCAGCTGAGGTGATAGGTTGTGTACACCCTGTGTTAAAGGTAGCATCTTGCTTCTTTCCAAACACATATGATTTGTATGTCTCCTAAAGTGTAACAGCACCTGTGACTGTCTACCACAGTCTAAAGACAAGATATCCATAACTTAGTGTGTGTGCTGTTTTGTCTACCCATAACGACAATCAGTAGACTCATGGCTAAACGCTCACCTATGCAGAAGCTTCCTGCTTGCCGCTTTAAGAGGTTTCACTACGGTATGGACTAGTGATGTGCTAAAACAGTTTGCTTTGATGAATAAAGCTGTAGATTAAGAGAATATTTTTGCAGTGTTGCAATATTTCACTGAGTGAATTGGAGTACATTAAAAGTGCAAAGTGCAAGTTATATGAGAAAAACTCAAGCAGTAAAACACAATAGAAGTGAAATGTAAGACTGAATGCCAATGTTTGTTTGATAAGGAGCCTTTTTGATAGAAAATAAGGTTATATTTTGTAATATTAATAAGGATAAATGACATTTTTGAGCCAATAGAGCACAATTGCATTTGACATTTCTCGAATGTAATCTATAATAGTTTTTCCCCTTTTCTGTAAATATTAGATGTTTAGTATTGTCCATGTTCTGTAACGTTTGCTGCCTGTCATGCATCTTTGTCTTTTGTGTTTATAATATACACATTTCAGTTATATCTGTTTTATTATAATGTAAAACCTTTTCTTAAGGGAATTATGACATATCTTCTCAAAGTACTCTTTTAATGTTATATTTTGTCTATGCATTTATTATTTTATAATCTTTAATAATGAAAAAATTATTCATACTGTCTTATTTTATTTTGTGTTGATAGATGCCGTGGATTTGTTTCATGTCTTCTAGACTTTGTGCCTCATTAAAACGCCCGTTTCGTGCTATTTTTGTATCCTCAAAAGTAGCAATAAATAATAAGTATATGCATCTTGATTCTCCTTGTTGTTAATGTTTGCAGTGAATATGTCAAGCACATACTCAACAACATGTTATTGTTCTGGGCTCGTGTCCAGCTGAGGTTCATGTTCTTCTCACATAGTGCTGTCAGTGTGCACAGCAGAGACTCCTCACTGTCTATGGTGCCTGTTAGGAGAGGAAAATTAGTCGCCTCCTAGCAGACAGTGACTCATCAAGTGCTCCCCCTCTGGACCGGGCCAGGAAAAGAGTCCCATGTGAGACCCGACATGTTTGCTCATAATTGCAGAATAAAAATATTTTGAGCTTATAATACCTACTGCTATTTACACAGGCAGACGTGATCATGGACAGTACACACAGACTCTAGTCCTCCCTCAAATAACAAGCAAGGCCGCTCACATGCCCAGTCCCTGGTTGCTATGGAGACAGCTTGTTTGGTGCTTGGTCCCCATGTCGGGAGGAGGTCTTTGTGAATGAACCTTGTGTTCAGGAAGTCTCTGGATATGACATCACCACGGGTGAAAAAAGCAGCACACAGGCTTTGCTGCATGAGCCGTCTCCAGCCCACTCAAGCAGATATGCCATGATGACTCATGTGCCCTTTAGCGCTCCACGGTTTAATGAGATCGGACCTCATACAGATTTACTGTGTGAAACCGAACAAGAATGCAATACATAATGAGCTTGGCATTTCACTTAGCTCACTTTCATGGTTCAGAAAAAAAAACAAAACAAAAAAAAACAGGGAGGCTGAGCTCATCCTGACACCAAGGCCATCAAGCTGAAATGGGCACAACATTAGCACTGCATGAATGATAGAGTCCCACAAGAATGCAGATTTTAAACTGATGACTTTATGTACCATCTTTGAAAGAAACTAAGCGACAGGGTCAGCTGCAGAACCACAGTACAACGGGCTGTTTGTGTGGAATAAAGATGACTGTCCATTTACAGACACCTCTGACAACCCAACATCATTTTCTGAGACGTGACTCAGTTTCCTGGGGCTCAGGTGTGTAAATAGTCTTCAGTATTGAAGTCAGCAGGGCGAACATTGATGGAAGAAATTTGCATGAAAACATTCCGGACACGAAGGGAGTGATTAAATATGCCAGGCTTACAGATGAAAGATGTTCTCTCTGATCTGCTGCCTTCCTTTACAGTTCAAAAATAAGCAACCAGTTTGTTTTTCATTTAGCCAAGCTGAACATAATCTCACTGAGCACGTGGGAAACACAGCAGAGAGAAATGAGCTCACAGACTGATATACAACCTGTATATGAATGACAAGAAGCCACACACAGAAATACTGTACGTGCAGTCACGGTGCTGTACGCTCATACCCGGTGCTAGAGTGACAACTAGTGCAACGAGGAAACTAAAAGTGGTGAGCTCAGCCAATGCACTGCAGAGGGCGACAAGATCGTGTGAATGTAGCTGAGAAGCATAAAGAGCTGTTCAACAGCACTCCACTGGAATCAACAGACTATTACTGAGCTACAGTATAAAACAGAAGTGCTACCTTGCAGAGCCAGGAGAATACTTCAGTACAGTGTCGTTTTTTAGCCACTGAACTGGCAAATTCAGTCACTTCAGAGATGCAAATTGAACCTAATGAACCACATTAGCAGCGCACAAAAGCTTCTTTGATGAAACAGCTGCAGGCTTTATTTAGCTTTCTAAAGACATTTAATGGTTTTAACATTTCTTTCTAGGGTATTTGACTACTTAAACCATTGCATCACTAATAATGAAATTCTACATGTGGTAAAAGCAGGAACCATCAAGTCAAACGCATGAGAAGATATAAAGCGTGAATAAGGCTGCAGCAGCAGATGGATAGTGTCTTTGAATCGGGAAGAATCATGAACTTCATTTAAAGAAGCAGATATGCAAAAGCAGATTTGATAAACACTATAGATCCTCCATCTTCAGCTTGTTTAGAATCGGTCTGAGAGCTGAGCTATAAACCTAACTGTGCATTTGATGATTAATATCATGACTTTGGCCTCAAACCAAGCCAACATGTCATAATGAGGACTGGCAACGACAGGGGTGTTGATCAGATGCTGTAAAGTTCTTTGAATCAAGTTTGTGATTTTGGTATATATGGGACAAACTAATGAGAACCAACGCCGCAGTGAAGACATGTTAAGAGTTAACAGAAATCTGAATTAAGATCCAAAACATTAAGACATGTATGTCTAACTGAACAGTAAGTGGGGAAACTGTACGATACATTATTCTACAGTGAAGGGACATTTTTAACATTAGCAGTGGTTTCTAATTTGTTCTGTATCAATTAATAAAAGAACTGTTGCTGAATAACTGCAACCTCTGGAAAAACAAATAAAACACAGCCTGGATTAGGAATTTTGACAATTATATGGACTAACAGACATGCAAAACAAATTTTACAAACACTGTAGAGCGTCTTTGTGCTCAGCTAGTGCACAGTGTATGAACGGGGAATCAGTCTGAAATCAGAATTCTTGCTGGAAACGGACCAAAACTAAAGCAGGAGACACTCAACGTGTCACACTAGCAACCCAGACCTGCACGTATGCCATATGCATTAAAATGGCAAATAAATGTCAAATGTTAAGAAAACCATGTTCTCATGGACACTTCTGTGTTTCATAGTGACAACACTGTGTTTATTATTGGCCGTTATCACCAGCTGGTGAAATGTGGCTCTGCTCTGAGGTGAACAGCCACATCAGAGCGGCAGCGGCCCTGGTGCTCATTACATTTTAGGAAACAACAGAACAGGCTCCGGTGGTAAATACAGCTGCTGTCACCCACCACCACCACCAACAAAGGCAACTGGCCGCTCCGTAGTTCATTTCTATAGCTCCCGCCGCTGGCGTCTGTGTTAGAGTTCCTGCATTTACATAATGTGTCCTTCTCGCTGCAGTCCTGTCCTGACGGGAAAGTAACTGGGAGGATATTCATAGAAAATCCGTGGGTTTACATGAAAGGCACCAGAACAACTAGACGATAAGATTACATCTCTTTGCATGGTACAGGTGAATACTGGGATTTGAAAGCTGCTGCACTGGCAGATTTCTTTTAGACTACAGTGTGGTTTTCTATTAAAATGACTCTCAGATACAAATCTAGTTTCCCTGATTTATTCTAGGAGCCATTTCATTTTCCTTTTGCTGTATAGTGTTCTCCTCAACATGCCCCATATTGCTTTTCACTTTGTACCAGCATTTCCTGTGCTTCCCACAATGACTTTCAACTTGGTGCTTTCAGCAAAAGTGGGCGTGCAGTACTGCAAGTGTGGACGCAGGCATGGTAGTGTAGTTTGAGTTTGGTCTACAACCAGCTTTTGACTAACATTAAAGAAAAAGTGGGAGATATTCACTTTATTAAGCACACCTGTACAACTGTATGCACTTCAATGCAACACTTCCACCTCAACATCTGTGTTTATGAAGCTCAAAGTCTGCTCTGTCTGAGCTTAGCATGAGCATGAATTAGGCCTGGATGAGAAGAGAGATCAGAAGGAGGCACAAAAGTTCAGAAAATCTGAATTATTTTAGAGTTTGATGAAATCTCCTTTGAAATTTAAATAGCGGCTAATTTGTGCGTCTTTTTGTTCTTTTTTCTAATTTTCTCTTCCCCTGGGTTTGTCCAACAAACTACAAACCATTCAATAAATCTGTCATCCTGCACTTCATTAGTAAAAGCACAGGTGCAGTTTCCTTCACTTATGCATGAACGGTGTACATTTCTATTAACAAATCTGCTAGGAACATCACAGGTCACTGAACAGCGTCACAGGGTCACAGGGTCAGATGGAGGTGGAGTGCAGCGCACAAACATGCACTCTAATGACAACTGCTTTGGGAGGGGAGAGGGCGACATCTGGATCGTCTCCCTTCCCTGATTTTTCTATCCACACTTATGTTAAAAGTCATCACAGTGCACGTCGCAGTAGCAATGTGTACACTGACGACGTGCTATGGCTGGTACAGTACTGAAAATGACTGCATCTTAGTGGTTGTCTGAAAAGTCAACAACTTGTAACGGCATCTGGTGACAACAGGGTGTGTTGCATCCTGTGTTACCTTCTAATTGTCGTAGAAAGAGCACTATCAGTGTTCTATCATGAAGTGCTGCCAGTAAGTCGAATCACCCAGAACTCTGTCCCGATGACGGCCTCTCACATTTCACATGCACTCAGCTGCAGGGGCGTCTCAGAGGAGAAGAAAGTGGAATGAGTGGTTTCATCTCAGAAATGAAACCATTTACCAGCTACTTTCTTCTCATCCGCAGACCAGCAATAGGCCTCATCTTTCTGTGCCTCATACACACACTCGCCACACATCAACACCACAACGCAGGCGCGTTTCAAAATCAAAAGTAAAACTGCATGATATAGCTGACGATGTGACTTCTTCTGTTAGCTACACCAAATGCATGTTTTATGACAATGTTAAGGTTTTGATGAGCACTTGGTATTCCTATTCAACCAGCCTCCAGTTCTTTTTAAAGCCTCTTTCACTCCCTCTTTACTGTAAAGAGTGATGTATTATCTGTCTATGTCAGACAGGCAAACATACCAGCGGCATGGCGATGGCAGCCGCTCAGTCCAACACTGATCCAGACTGAAATATCGCACCACCATGAGACTAACATTTGTTATTTTGAGTATGTCTCCATATAAACTTGGTGGCTTGGACCCCCCATGATGAACTGTAGACTTGGGTGATCCCTTATCTTTTCACGTAATGCTATTATCAGGCCAAATGTCGAGAAAATAGAACAGAAACTGAATTTCAACAACTGAATGACCAACAAACTTGGTGTTAGTGTTAACTTCTACACTGTTCAGTTACGCACCTCAGTTTTTGAATGTCCTCTGTTGAATTCTGTCCAGTAGCCAAGAAATAGACATGTTTCATAACCTTCAAATATGAATCAAAGTCTCTAGAACTGAGGATTGTAATAATTTTGTAATGGTGTAAGATCTCAGTATTACTTGTGTATCATCTTTGCAGTCTTGAATCTGTCTCATTATCAATTCACCCGCCAGCGTTAGGTTTGCTGAAGGTCCATATTGTCTTTGAGAAAAAATCAGAAGGAAAATCCATCTGGCAAATTGAGAACAGACACCAAAGGCCTCCTGTTTCTTCTTCTCACTTATAGGTCGAGTCCAACACCTCCAGTAATTTACCTCCAGCAGAGATTGTCTGTAACAGCATAAAATCCACATGGTGTGAGTAACACGGTGCAATGAAAAACTGATTATTATAGTGACTCCTGAGTCTGGAAAGAAATAGTTTGTGGTTACTTCTCATCTTGTCATTAAAACACACCAAAACAGAACATCTAGTGCTAACTCCTGACACTTTACAATAAACAAGAGTAAAACCGATCAACCATTGGCAGATGAAGCCAACAGCATTTATTTTGTTACAGTACACCTGCACATTATTACCTTTTAAGAAATAGTTACAGGAATCATTTATCACCAGGTGCTACTTCCACAGTGAAGAGAGAAAACTAATTAAAACACTTTTTTCATTTAATAAATCTTTGGGTGTAATTACCAACCAGCCAACTTGTGGAAAGAACATTGTTATACCAGTAAAGCACGACTAATAATAACCATTATCACAGAAACAAAGGGCCCCATTAAATGGCACACAGCAGAGCAGACAGAGGAAGGGCTGCACAGCTTGCACCGAGGGGGGAGCTGTTATTTTGGACAGCTATAATCAAAGCCATAGTGATCAACAGACCTGCTGAGTTATAAGCTGACATCTCCTTAGCACTGACAGCAGACGGTGACTTCTTTCACAGACTAGAGAGAGGCGGAACAGAAGGAAAGAAAGGGGATGAGTGAGGAAAAAAAAAATAGATATATATATATTTTGGTCATTCGCTGTGTAGCTCTGTGAAACCAAATCACAAAAACAAACAAGCTCCAAAAGAGGAAAGCAGCGACTAGCATTACTGAATGAATGAACCCTGAGTAACTGGCTATTTAGTTAATCTAAGCCCTTTAACAAAGAAGCCATATTCAGTGTTCAGCTGGAAATGAATGGCTGGTCCTCGCCACTGGCTTCAGTCTAATTATGAATCGGAGCTATGGTGTCGACGACGTGCAGTAATAAACATTTATTAATGACAACAATCTGCTTCACTACACGTCATAACAGAGCATTGAATTTGATAAAAAGACCCTGTTTTGTCATGTAGAACAAAAAGCAATGGTTTCCTATTTGTCATAAATATATATGCAGTGTGTCTCACATCTTTACCACATACACGCGCCAATTCATCTTTCAACTGTGTCCCATAGCAACAATGTGGTCACCATAGAAACTGAATTAAACTTAAAACTAAGGATATTTTTATCTTATCTTCTATGAATTCTCTAAATGGGAATGGATATTTTTGCCCAAAACCAGTTCCTTGTTTGATTTGCACTGTTTGAGAAGCTGCCTCATGCACTCAGACGTTCTGTTTTAATTATCTGACGGTGGCTAACTGACGTCTGTTCATACTGTGCATACATCGTTTATTTTTGGCCGCAGGAAGAGCAGCTAATTTCACCATTAATTGGATCAGTAACTGTCCTGTCATGCTCCACTGTCCACATTACGCACTATTCAGATGAGCACTTGAAACAACTTAGTTTGTCCCTTGGAACAATTGGAAACAAGCTGTGAAAACAACATGGAAACATCAACTTTCACGGTGCTTTGTTCAACGCATTAGCTTAGAGTTTCTTATTGACATGCAGCAGTTATTGCACGGAGCAACATTATCATTCATGTGAAGTCGTAGTCCAACATTCACTCTCATTCACAATAGCTCCTGATGGAAACGTCTGGCTCTTTACCTGCCTGCTCAACTCTGTCTCCTAGAAATAATCAATTCATAACCAATTTGCAGTAGCAAATATATTTCAAAGCGGGAAAAATCCACCTGGATTACATTTTCTGTTAATGAGGAAACATTGAAACTTATCTTGCAAGTTGCAAAAGTGTTGACACTTATGTTCATTGTCAATATGATTGATTTGTTTTCAGCTGATCATAAATGTAAGATTTCATTCATTTAAATTAAAACTACTTATGAACTTAAGCATAATTAAGAAAACAACGCAATGAGAGTGAATCAAAACCGTAAAGCCAAGTTTGGTGATGACTCTTTGTAGGTTCATCACTATAAACCACACCTTTCACACATCTGATACAGAAAATTCATGACTGGAAGGAAAAATACATCCCAAGACTTAAGTAGCTTGGCATGGGGCTGCACTCGGCATCTGACTGTTGCTTCTTTTAATTATTCACTCACACAAGCATGAATAAAATGAAGTTTTCTTAACCCGGTGATCTTCAGCTCACATCCCTGGGATTCAGGATGCAGCTGTTTTCTACCCTACCAGCTCGATGATTACATCCACCTTGGATCCTGGGTGTAAAATGGTTTGTGATTGGATGGCTAGAATGAAGGACTGCAGGGGTCTGAGTCCTGACAATTGCTGCTCTAATCCAGTCACAGACTGGGGTGGCCCTGCATGGATCACTCAAAGGGTAGTATTTGAATAATTACATCCAAACAGTCTCCTAACTCGATGATAACCCATTCATTCAAAAACACCTTCACTCAGACACTACAGAACTCAATATGCTACCCACAACTGACAGAGAAAGGAAAGCGCTGCATTTCGCTCGATGCGTCTTTGAATTAGAGGAACTTTTACATTACCCATTCTGGTCACTGACCTCCACACCATGCAGTTTTCAAGAGGGTGTACAGTACATGTTTCTCTTTTTCACACCTTCCCCAGCACTCAGATGACAGTGTTTCCACAGGGATGAGTCCTGCTGCTCTCTGTGCTGCTCAGTTGGAATCCTCACTTTCCTACGTAAAACTGCCTCTTCACAAGAAAGTCATTTTTCCTGTGGTACAGTGAACAAATACAGGCCAAAGGCTCATTGTAAGGTTATTTTCTTGTTTCATGGTCCATAGATGTAAATGCAGAGGGGAACGTAATGGAAGGATTACTTTTAGGGCCAGACAAGGGGGGCTGAGTTCACTTGGGCGTCATCTGGCCTGGAGTCCTGCACTGGGTGGTGAAAAGTGGTGTGTACCGGGTAAAAAAAGAAAAGCTAATAGTAATTCATGGGTATAGGCAAAAAATAGACTAAATGCAGGTGAAAAGTGAAACTGGCATAGCTGGCATAGGAGCCAAAGCAGCCACAGTGGAACAAATGAAGGTCGTTGCCCTCAGCACACCTCCAGTCGGCCTTGATCCTCACCACTAAACCTCCTCTTTTCTCTTTTCTCCCGTCTTTAACGACCCTTTCTTATTTAGGTATCACAGCCGACAGAGGCAGTGGCGCATTGGAATACCCCTGTTCCAGATTTAGAGCAGGTCATTTAGCCATAGATTCATGAATATTAAAAAAAGGCCAAGCAGTCACATATTAAAGTTGACACATTTTGGATAATTAAACAGAAAAACAGGAGGCTGACAGAGACCATGACATTTCCACCTATATTACCTTCATTGGATAGGTCAAAAAAACAATCCTCTTTTCAGTTATATACACACATTACCTCTTACCAAGTTACCCCAATCCAATCAGAGCAAAGATCAAATCAATGAATCTGAGTCACCTTTGTTGTATTTAATATAGGTGAGGTTAGCAATTTCATACAAAACCCAAATGGTAATTAGGTGAGATATTGTAGGAATCTTTATCTGGTGATGATTATATACTTGACAAATGTAATATAAACTCTTATTTGATTTGTCTTGCAATATTTAACGCATGTCCAAACAGGTTACAGTTATAGAACATTAAATTACTGCAACAGTTATACAGAAATACTGTTGTATTCAGGCTTTGAGCAGGAAATGTAGGAAGAACACAGCAGAAAAGAAGCCATATAGAGAATGGGGCTCATATCTGGAGAAATAAAGACACAGGCAATAGTTTATAAACTAAGTTTTGGTGTGTCTGGTATTTTCCTGCCATGAATAAATGCATTTAAGGAAGACAGGCAGTCCAAGTATTGTTAGCACAGTGTTTTTGAAGGGGATGAGAGGAGCCTGTTTGTTTGGCGATTGCTAAAGCCAGCCGCAACTCCAGCTGCTCATAATGCATTCCTCCCTCTAATAATGTCTTCAGCCTCTCTTCCAGTTACGCCTCATTGCGTCTGATTGTGCCTAGTGCTGGTGGTCTCCAAAGTTGAAAAGATTTTCACATGCAGATTCTCCGGAAGCATCTGTTGGATGTATCAAACCTGTGAATCTGTCAAAATATGTCAGTGTTGGCCAAAATGCAATCACATCAGGAAGCCTCTTACTGTGAAGGAACAATGCCAACCACGGAGCCAGGCTAATGTGCACAAGCATCTGACAATAGGAGCAATCTAATTAGCCAAATATCACACACCTGTGCCAGCTGGACAGAGTTATGACAGTAGAAAACAGACATGGAAAATCTTAGCCCTCATTCAGACAGTAATATAGCAAACTATAGAGCCTGTAGGTGGCTGCAGGGGTATCTGAAGATGATATATACTGTGTGTGTAGTGTTCACCTCAAGTGAAAAACTAAGGGTTTGACAAAAATGTAGCCTTCATTGTGAGTGGCTGCAGAGAAGGTTTGTTGCAACACTTCAGCGTAAAATGTACCTATGATGAAAACAGCAATGCGAGTTCCTGTTTTCGAAAACAAAAATTGAGACAAAAAATGAAACATGTTAAATGAATAGAAACACACTGAATAAGGGAAGAAAGCTTTTCACAGTTTGGGTGAAGTTTGATTGCGGAGCAAAACATTACATTTTAAAAAGGCTTTACTGCAACTTAATGTACTGCTACTGCAAATTTACCAAGAAATGTTACATTTAAGAATAAAATCAACCTGCTGGATTTTTCAGGGGAGCTTTCTATTAACAAAAGGAATAAGGAGCTTATGAATGGCACCAACCTGCACTGAAACACCGACCTCGGAGTCTAACCCTGTCCATTGTGCATTGAGAAACATGCTTCAGCTTCACAGCTGTACACTACACTGTACACAACCACTACACTTATGAATTAAGACACACAAAACATACATACAAAATTTCTGATGCTTTAACAACGGTCAGTTATTTTGATAATTAACATTTGTACGCCTCTGCCCAGGTGACAGCCTGGAATAATAATTCAACATGGTGTAAAGTTTTACACTTGACAATCGAGTTTTCTTAGTGATCACTGCTGTCATTCGCATCACCTCATCATGAAAAAGAAATAAAAAGTCAGACAAATACACCCAAAGTGTCTCAGAGCTTATTTACTGTAAAGCCATCTGAGACATCTGTCTCTGCCAGGCTTCATCCCTCCCAGCAAACCAAACGCACTCTTGGTCGGGATCACATCTATCGCGCAACAGTGCTCTAACAATCCCATGCACATATAAAAATAACGAATGTATCCCCACATTAGTGATGTTAATGCTGCAGAAAAAAGAAAAGCCACATACCTTTCATAAATCATTGTTGTAGAAATAGGATTGATGGATAGGCGGCTATGTTGGACGAACGGACAAACCAACAATGTGGGAGTGCAATACAGAGTGAGCAACAGAGATATGACAACCGGACGGCAACGCTAGACAGAGAGATGGCTATATTTGATGCACACCTGACCGGTCAGGTTGGCCAGAGTCAGCCATTTTAAGTGACTGTCACGGCATAGCAGCCATGTTGGGAAGGACAGTTGGGCACGGAGGGCCAGAAAAAACACCACCATTAAACACTCAAGCTTAGAAAAAGCCAAGGCACAACAATGGATTTCACAGTAAACTCAGGACTTATGGTGGCACAGCCCAGCAAAAGTAGTAAAAAAAATTAAATGACTTACAGTTCACAGATCCATCTAAAAACAAACCAACAAAAATTTTTAATTAGTTTCAGTCCATTTCAAATCAATTCCAGCAGCAACAACAAATTTATTATAACATTAAACAGTGATAACACTTCCTCCTACAGTGTATAAAAACAATACAAAACATTTTGAAAACATACTCTATAGTTTCAGGTCAAGAATTTCTTGACCTCTGAAAATTAGAAACACTTTGAGCTTTTCTCGTTGCCCATTATGTATAAATAAACCATAACATGAGGGACGGTTAGTGAGACACACAAACACATACTTTGTTTAAAATATTCTAATTTTTTAAACTTTCAAATGTTTAAATAGTATAAAAACAAATTATTGGGATACTTCAGCCAGATTGTTAAAGCTTTCATGCCAATAAAACCAATTTGAAATGTATCATTGAAGAATTAATTTGAATTGTCAAATTAAACAAGTACTAAAATTAGGCATTCAATTGAATTAAAGAAGAATGATTTAACTGGATTAATCATCACACCCTGCTATTCACCTCAGACACTTTGGGCTCCTGCTTTCTACTGAAGTTAAATTACAAAATGTTCAGTCCAAAAGCATTTTCCTCTTTTGAAGCACAGGCCTTCATCCGCTAACAGGCGGCTGTGTCCCTCATTCCCCTACTTGATGAATTATATGAACTTTCAGATAAACAGGAAAGCCTAATGAAGACAGGACATTATTTAGTATACTGATGTGCGTTGGCAGATGGGCTATACCGCAGTAAAGTCAAACACATTATCCTAACCAGCTTATGTTAGCTCACGAAGTTAACAAGCTAAACACAACCAACACACCGGATGTTAGCCTACAACAAAGTCTGGCTACATTAGCAAACTTCCAGCCAGTAGTGATGGGAAGTTCGGATCATTTTACTGATTCGGTTCTTTGAATCTCGTTCAGCAACGAATCTTTTTTCGAGTCATTTCGTTCACTTCAGCAGAATGTAATTAAAATGTTACATGTTAATTCCCCATCTACTTACGCACATATTGATCACGTTTCCAATACGAAAGAACTGTAATGCAGCCAAGGTCATATTATAAGTAATATCGTACCTGTGTCTTGAGGCCATGCAGTCTGTTACGGCATCACCTCACCTCCGGATATTTTGGGTCAAATTCGTTTGGTCTTTTGTCACTAACATCCTAAAATAAGCTAAGCTAAGCTAAACTATGCTATGCTATGCTATGCTATGCTATGCTATGCCGTGCCGTCTTCTGTATAGTATACAGAAAGATTCTCCCTGATGAAGTTTATTAACCAACTCTTTATTAAAACATTCAGTGTTATGGAAAAGAACCATATTGACAGATATTCATAAAATTATAGTTTGTAGGAAATAAAAAGCTATTTTATAATAAAAATAAATGCATCACGTAACAGTAAGAGTAAAAAAAAAACTGTAAGTACGGTTGAAAATTAACTAATTTCTGTATCCAACAAAGCGGTCATGTCACGTTACAAAAAAGAACGACTCGAAAGGTGTACTAATCTACTAATGCGATGTTGCGCATGCGCGGTCAACACAAAATGAACGAATCACTCCCCGAGACGACCCGATGTTCTCGAGTCATGGGAAAGCGTACGTCACTAATAGCAGGGAATCTCTAAATGGAATGCAGGACACACATGAGGCGACGATATGATACTGATTTTCATCAGCTGACAATGGTAACACCAGAAAATAGGCGATCCTTTCATATTAACCAACATGATGTCTCTGCTTTTGAACACAAGGTTAACAGCCTATATCACTGATTGAATACTTCCCCAAAGTGCACAGTTCTACCACCAACCTCTCCAGTCAGTGTGTTCTTGTACTTCATACATGGTGAGGACCAAAAAAGTATTTTTCGCTACAGAGTGGGGACATTTTTGGAAAGTGAGGACATGACATGTTGGCTGGTCCTCACTTTGTGAAACACCTTTTGAGG